GTGTGTGTGTGTGTGTGTGTGTGTGTGTGTGTGTGTGTAACAACGAGTTGGTGAAGCATGTGTTGTGTGTGGGCTAGTAAAGTGGGAGTGAAGTTTTCTGTGGTTTTTTGGTTTGTAAATCAAATATTTCTGCTCCAAAACATTGACAAAACCTGTGAGGTAGAAAATAGAAGGTGGGCTATTTTAAAACACAAGATGGTCTGCATCTACTACCTGAATTCACATACCTTAGAAATTGTAGCAAATGAAAAAAAAAAGTTTCGACTACAGAAGTATTAAAGAAAAGAGGAGAAAGTGAGAAAGGGAGAAACTTTAACAACTTTCTGAAATCACCGTCGGACAGAAAAAGAGGAGAAAAAAAACAGCGCAAGAGGAAATCAAAGTAAATACTCAAAGTAATGTCAGTATTTGCATGTCTTTGTGCATGTACAAACCCGAGGGACAGAAGTCAGCTGCCTTATCAAAACTTTTGCTGTACCGTAAACTTTCAATGGAGTGTGAATTGTTAATGTAGCATGGTGCTAAATATAGCAGGCAGGGCAATTTCTAAGTAACTGTTTGAGCGTGTGTGGGTGCGTTGGTTACTTATGGTCCAAAGATAAGATTGCAGATTTAAAGCAGCTTTCTGGCAAAAGACCAGAAAAGCTGTCCTAGCAAACAACTGGGCAGAGTCGCTGCAAGTGTTAATGTCGACTTTGAAGCGTCAGGATAAGTTACACATGAAAACATTCTATTAGCTTTCACGTTAAATTGGCATGTTAACACTCAAGTTTAAAAAAGACACAATTGTTCTAATTTTAGACCTTTTTAAACACATATAAGTCTTTTTTGTTGGTTTAAGAAATTGTGATCCTTGTAGATTGCTCAGTTTGAAGATCTGATAAAAACGTGGTAAGATATTTTGTTTTTCTGAGAAACTCCTGGGTGGTTTTGTTATTAGAGGTCTTATATATAAGCGTGGACACACTATAACTCCTCTTCCTTTCTGGCTGTAAAACACTCACACACAATGGCACAAACCCACACAACCAAAGGAAGTGACTGAACAGAGCGCTCATGTGCACAGACCCCCGTCTGCCTCGTAATAATGTCTGCACAACCAAACACACATCTATCACGGATGAAAAGGTCAAATCTGATAAAGTGCAAATGCCTTTCTTTGGTGTAGTTGCCTCCCTGGAGATTACAAGAAGAATAGAAGGTTTAAATAGCATAGGTCAGTACGGCTATGGAGACGCTAGGTATTCTTTTCTGTATCTGAACCTGGGGCCTCAAACACAATTGGTTCATATTCGGGTGTGGTTCTAGTTTACAATAATATGTCCACAATATGTCACAGAGCTTCAAACAAGTTGACAATATGCAGCAAAATGCACGTGAGAGGACAATTGGTCATATTTACAGAAAACCTTCTGGCCCCCCAACGTTGACTGACAATTTACTTTTAATCAGTTGGTAAGGAAGTCAGTAACATTCAAACTCTATAAGCTCCGCCTGAAGGAATCACAAGACACTAATGAGGCATTAGAGCAGTGCGTTGTTCCCTTGTAAACCCCAGCATGTGTGCACTGTAGATGAGTCTGCATGTGGCATGTGGTAAGCAGAGGGGGATTTATTTTAGCATCCGAAAATAAATGTGGTGTGCATTTAAAAACAACGGGAACACCTCTAGTAAAAATGCCCACAGATTCAAAACACAGCTGCCTCCATTCACTATTTAAACCAGTTCTATGGCACAATGTGAAACCAGGTGAAATCCCATTTCACTCCCTCTCTTTTCTTTGAAGCTCCACACCTACATTGCATGCTCATGCTTATCTATGACTTGTCATGTCGACTTCTTGAAGAGGTGTTCCATACCACTGTGGGGTATTTGAAATGCTACTCTTTGTGACTTTGGATTAAGGATGAAGGCAAATGCGCATTGGTTGGGGTATTGCTACAAAATTTGGGCTTAGTCAAATCGTGTTGAATTATCCATAGTGGCCTGAGGTTTCTGATAATCAGTGTTCTGACTCGACCTCTTTGAGTCAGAGTATTTAGAATTTTACCAGGGAGGATCAAGAGGTCACACTCTGAGTCAGTGGTTACTGGTAATGAACTGGGTGGCTGACAGAGCACTCACCAAATCTAGACTTCCTGTTGCTCAAATAGTGATGACACTTCTTACAAAAATCACAAGTTATTCAAACTTCTCTGTCTCTTTGAGGATAAATTCGGTGTTCCCTGGGGTTAACTGAAATTGTGATTCTGATGAGGTTCACACATTTCTTTTTAGTCAAGCTTCTTAAATCTACAATTATCCTTGCACCATAAAGAGGTCCAGTCTTCCTTTTTTTCTCTTCCTAATAGTGTGTGCATGCATGTCAATGCTGAAACATATCAGGCCAGTGGCTCAGACTCACTGTTGCTCTGGAAGTTGAACGTTTGATTATTTTTTTTCTATGGAACTGCTTTTAGCTCTTTCAATCAACCACAGGGTCTCATCTCTGCTGTATGCAGATGATGTGGTTCTGTTGGCGTCTTCTGCCCAATACCTTCAGCGCGCACTGGGGCGGTTCGCAGCCTGTCTGAGACCATGGCTTTCAAACAGAAAAGGGTAGAATGCCCCCTCTGGGTCGGGGGAGAGTCTCTGCCTCAAGTGGAGGAGTTTAGGTATCTGGGTGTCTTGTTCACGAGTGATGGTAGGACAGAGCTGGAGATGGACCAACAGATCGGGGCCTCGTCCTCAGTAATGAGGGCGTTGCTTCGGTCGGTCATGTTAAAGAAGCTGCTGAGTCGAAAGGCAAAGCTCTCGATTTACTGGTCTGTTTATGTTCCAACCCTCACCTATGGTCATGAGGCGTGGATTATGATCAAAAGAACGAGATCCCAGATACAAGCAGTCGAAACGAGCTTCCTTCGTAGGGTGGCAGAGCTCAACCATAGAGATAGGGTGAGGAGCTCGGAGTGGAGCCGCTGCTCCTCCACATCAAAAGGAGTCAGTTAAGGTGGTTAGGGAATCAGATTTAAGATTCCCTTTAAAGGTGTTTTGGGCACGTCCCACTTGTAGGAAGCCCCGGGTAAGACCCAGGACTTGCTGGAGGGATTATGTATCCTCTCTGGCCTGGGAACATTTCGGGCTCCCCCAGGATGAGCTGGATAGTCTTGCTGGGGAGAGGGATGTCTGGGTTTCTCTTCTGGACCTATTGCCTCCATGACCCGACTACAAATAAGCAGAAGAAAATGGAAGGACGGAAGAAGATGGAAGAAGATGGGGGGATGGATGGATGGATTTTAATTTATTGTATGTAACCGACAAAAACAGTTATTATGACTTATCCACTTTTTTTTTCTGGCGGCAATGCATCTGCTAGCTGGATATAACATAAGTGGATTATCACCACAAGATTAGGAGAATTTTAATAGGACAAAGATGGGGATTTAGTGGTGAGAGTAATTTAGGCTGAAATGTGTAAATCAAGATGTATGCACAATCACAAAGTATGTTCGTGGCAAACAGGAAAACCTTTAGCAATCAGGAAGTATTCATCAGGATGGTGAGTCCAGCGTTCTGTCAACTTCCTGTGTGAATGTGCATTTAGTGTAGTGGCTGGGTTTATGAGCAACAGAATCAGTTAGTGTGAGTGACTCTTGATATTCTGTAACGTAGGAATGCTGTTAACACCATTAACACCCAGCAATACAAGGCTGACTGCAAGAGATCAAGCTGCCAAAGAACAGAGAGAGAGTCAGAGGTGACAAGACAGGGAGTCAAGTCATCCAGATATACATGGGGAGGAAAGCTTCCTCACAAAGGCAGAAATAAATTTAGGACAGGATATAACATTCCAGGACTGAAAGTCTCCAGACAGTAGTAATTGTAAAACAATGTTAGTACTCTTCACAAACAAAATATCCTTACAAACTGAATGGAAAAATGGGGACACAAAAACAGATAATATACTGCATGCATCTTTTTGAGGCAACACATTATCTATATTTATATGTATTATTCTTTAAAGGAGATAAGTAAACTGAAATGAACTGAGTAAAAAGAGTTGGCCTAAATAAAGAAACTATTTTTACATTTTATTATTTTACGAAGTATTAAACAGACTCTGATAAGTATCCCCTCTTGCAGTTGTGTAAACAGAAACAGAAACCCGTACTGTGAAGATTTTGGCTTGTCTAGAAGAAAAAATAAAACTGAGAATCATCTCACCTTCCTGGGTTTTACTTTGTCCTGGTAGTCATACTGAAATATGCCTTTATAGCTCAGACCCAGCCACCATGGGATCCCCTGTTTGTCCTATAAAACACAACGCAATAGCTAAAAGCCTGCTTTCAAGTCCAAGGTGAACAAAAAATATGTGTAGTACATGTGTGAGAAAAAAAAGCAAAGGCAGAGTAATAAAACAGTACCTTTACAGCATAGTAATGCACTCCATATGTGGGCAGAGACTCAACAATACTCATGTAACTGTAAGGAGTAGAAACGCACACATTTAAGAGCTTACAAAGAAGAAAAAGCCTATACATGGAATAAAAAGCTGGAGAAACAAAGACACACTTACTTTACAATGGCTTGCCCTCTAGACTGTCCACTGAGCTTCTTGTAATGCTCTATGACTCGTTCTTCACTGTAAAAAACGACAAAAAAAAGAATATTATGAAGATAGGCTACAGGTGAGTCTGCATGAAGGACGACTGAACAGTCTCTCACCAGTAGGCTAGAGATGGGTGCTCCTTTAAAGCCTGGGTGGGCAGAGCAGGCAGCTTTTTCAAATCCGACCTGGTTGCATCATCACTGGAAAGGAAAAAAAAAAAAAACAATCAAACTTGTCAACAAAATTGATCAATCTTTGCTTTAAGGCCTATCTGTTTCTCACATAAAACCTAACATATCAGTAAGGGTTGAAAGGAGAAACATTTTTTCTCAGAATGCTTTAAGAAAAAAAAAGGGGGGGGGGAATGGGAGAAAAAGAATGGCTTTCAGATGAGAAAAAAAATGAATAAGTGCTGATGGCCTAAACACTCTATTTTAAGGACTGGGTGTGGTCTGTCTCTGAACAGCTGCAGAGGGGAAAAAGAGCAACAGAAAAGCAGACACAAACTCAAGGGATAAATAAAGATAAAAGAAGATGAAAATGAACAGGCCTGATAAAGATTAGTACAAAAATGTAGTAAATGAGACAGTGGAGCCATGCAGGGAATTAAAAAGACTTGGCCCTGGAATCAGTTTTCAGACCTTCGGTGGCAGGAGCTCGTACTCTAATCCCTCCTAGCCCCTCTCTAGCCTCCACCAAGGCCCCAGAAGATTGGGAAAGCCCAGGGAACATGACAACCTATGAGTTAAGGCTCTGGAAACAATCCCATCCGCCCTGTTTGTCTGTCTGAAAACAGCTGTGTGTCCACTTAAGTTGATATCTAGCTGTGGGAATATTTATCAGGTATGTACAGTTTTTACTGCAGAATACATGATGACACTGACAAGAAAGTACAATCACTTCGCAAAGATATCTTTACTACTCACTGAACCTTATAATTATTGACTTTATTTTGCTATGATAAAAAGAAGAAAAATACCAGAGGTATATAAAGTACTTGAAAAAAATAAGTAAAAGTAAAAATACCATAACAGACAATGACTTTGGCAAAAATTTATTTCACTGATAAGAAAAGTACTTAAGTCTTAAAACCGCCCAATATCATCGATAAAATGTGTACAAACAACTATTTTTATAAGTTCCAGTCATATTTACATTTGTAGCACACAGGTGTTAAATTTTTAAAGTTACACAGTAAAACTACTATTTTTATGTTTTGAATGAACTGAAATAAAAGTAAAATTTACAATTTAAAAAAATACTTGGTAAAATTACAGATCCTCAAAAAATTACTTTAGTACTGTAGCAAAGTAAATATATAAGTACTGTACACATCTGAAAAAGTCAATTCAGGATCTTTGTTGGAAAACAATCTATTCGTATCTTACAAGAAAATTGATTATTACTAATGTTTAAAGGCTAATGTGTATTTCAATAAAGGCAGCATTGAGACACAATGTCAGTTTAATATGAACAATGACAAAGTACTGCAATCAACAGAAGAAGAGTCTAAGGACTTTTAAAGAAGTAATGTATGAATCTATATGTGTGTATGTATATATTTGTATATGTGTCAGAAAAAGGGGTAAGTAAAATGGGGAGAAACATGAAAGGAATGTCTCCAGAGTGTCACATTCCATCCCTCCGCCGGACGTTGTGTTTATTTACTCATTCCCAGAAGGAAATGAGGTCAGAGGTCACGGCTGCTGTACTCGGTTATGCATAAACAACCAAGGAACGAAAGATAATGTGCATTTAGCCCAACATAAAGTGCTACTTTATGACACGTGTTCATCTTGTGTAACCTAATTAAAATTTAATGCATGGTACATTTAATGATGTTGCATTAAAGTTGAGCTCTTCAACCAACATGCACCACAATGACAGCTGAACTTAAACACACACGAGTTCTCATTTAGGTTTCATGGCCTGATCAATTGTACTTTGTATTTTCTCACTTTCAACAACTAAGCAAATAGATTTTTTTTAAATACACGTTAGAATTAATTACAGTAGCTGTGCTTACCTGTTTAAATCACCTTTAGCCTCCTGTGAAACACAAAGAAAAAATAGGTTTAAAATAAGTTCATTGAAAACGGACTTATTTGGTGCAGTAATCATAAATTTGGGGCTTATGTTCTGTTTAACTGCACCGCTGGAACCAGAGAGGAACACTAAATCTCCATCTAGAGTGAAAGCTTTGAAGGCTTGCAGAGCAGATACCTGATATGGTACATCTGCACCTGCACACAGGGGGCAAACCCACACACACACGCACACCTACACACACTTATATACAAGCCTCTCTATGAGTAACGTGACCTAACATAATCACGGTTAATGGACTGACCTTCTGAGAGAGAGTGACAGGAAATAGAGAGAGAGAGTTGAAGTTGAGAAGGATTTACAAAGTGGTTTTTTTTTGGTGTTCTGTTTTCAAACAGTACATAATCTATGTAGTAAAATTCTTTTAGTTTTGCAATTCTTAAAGTGGTTCATCGTACTAAAACGTCAGTTCACAATCCCAAACAAAAAGCATAAAAAGTAGATACAAAAGTTTAAAATAATATTTCTTTAGAAATAAATAATCGTGGAGTTTTAGAATTCAAATCCTTCAAAGGTGACTGCGGATTAACAAATTGATCACTGAATCTGATAATGTGAGTTTAATCCCAGCCATTGATGAAAGAAGTAGATTACTTAAATTCAAGCATTATGAGTTAGGATCAAAAACTGGTAAAGACGTTTGAGTTTCAGCAGAAATATTTCATGCCTGAACAGCATTCACTGGAGTAACTGTGGTACTTTGATTTATGAATTCATGTGCCGTTCAGGAAAAAAGAAAAAGACATCAACAATAATGTCTCACATACTGTAAACACATAAACAAACAAGGAAGTTTTATCTTACTTGTAGGATGTAGGAGGCTAATTCAAAAACAATTTCGCTGTCTACTTCAATAAGCTCCTGCAAACAGAGAACAGAAGCAAACAGAAGCCATGAAAAACACATTCTTTGGCTGGTAATGAGTAAATAAATTACAAACTTCAATGCTCAAGATAAGCAGTTCTCTTGCCCTTAACTTTTCACTCTTCTCTAATATCTGTAATCAGAGATAAGAGGCAATGTGAGGGGGGTTGGGAGTATGGGGTTAGGAATTAAGGGTCAGCATGAAAGCTCTGGCTGCTGATTAAGTGGTACACTTCAAAAATGTGTTTCTAAAACTGACTATTCTGATCTATTTAAAGACGTGTTTTTAAAAAGGGTTTACTAACAAAACATTTCCAGGCAGAGAGGTGCATGCAAGGACAATTTGTTTGTGTGGTTGGTTTGCATAGTTATGAACAGTTAGCACAGATGCTCTCTATGCATAAAATACTGGACAAAAGAATAAGGTTTGGCAGGCTGTGCGTAGTGGCTGAGGTATGCTTGGAATGCTCCTTTACAATCCACCTCTTAATAGGCCGGAAGATTAGACAGTCAGGATGAAACACTAGAAGGAGAAAACCCACCCTGAGAATACCACCCAGCATGGCTACAAATCACCACATATTTGTTTTATTTGTATTTTTATCACACAGCAAAATGACTCTAATTTAGCTCTGAGTACAATCAAAACTACACAACTTTTCCTATTTCTTCTTTGGCTCTCTATTTCTCTCCTATCCCCCTGTTGGGACATCATGGTTATCTGCTGCTGAACGTTGAAGCATTAAGAAGAGGTTAATGTGAGGTTAGTTCTTGTGTCATTTTAATAAACCTATTGGTGAGCGTGATTCAAACGCTTCCTATTTAGTAACTCTGCATCACCACAGAGGCTATGTTGTAAGAAACAATCAACAAGACAGATGACTGTAGGGTCTATGTCAAAAATAACTTGCGTTTCTACTAATTAATTACAAAATAATCCTAATGTACAATTAAGTTTTTTGCAGTACAGATAATAAAGGTTTTTATAACCCTGTAACAGCTCTTGTTCTTCAGGTTACATACGCCCTCCACTGGATATGATGCTTGCACTGCTGTTATCAAGTTTTGCAGACAAGACTAAATCCATCTGAGTGACAGGTGCAGCAATCGATTTCACTGAGCGGTCAATGTTCCAACGCACAAAAGCTGTTAAAAATGATTCCATGTAACTTTCTGCCTTTGATCTTTTCTCCGTGGGTAACTTTCTGTCAGCGTTTATCTTAAAAGTATGTTTTTGCCTGCTGTTCACAAAGCCTACATAAATGTGCCTCAGCGTGGCCAGATGGCAGTAAATGTGTCGAATTATTTGCTAACTGCTGGAATGTGGAGCAGTGCATAGCGTGATGGGGAACAGCTGATGCAAACAGCTCACGTTTTCTGCTTCACCAAATCAGCGAGCAGGACAGAGGTCCAAGTTTTCCTCTTGTGGCATCTCTTCATGTAGACCGAAAATTGGGTTAATAAAATGGCAAGCCTCTAGAACTCCACTTCAAAACACCCTCTGACCATCTCCAACTTATTTTTGTCAAGTGATTTTAAATCTTGTCGTTTTAAATGGAAAGCATCTGTTCAACCCATATGAGAAGCAGAATGAGAACAATATCAGGAGTTTACCTTGTATATGATGGACTTGGCATTAAGAAAGAATAGTTCAATTGTAGCGTTGTCCTTTAGGTAGGATATACTTTCGATGTAAAACCTGAAAACACAGAAGAAGTACTTAAATACATGAGCAATTAAAAAAATAAAGAAAATAATTAATCCTCAGTCTAATGAAAGTGATTTTTAAAATATTCTTGTTACAAGAAACAGATAGCAAAATACAGTACAAATTTAAGTGCAAGATTTGGTAATACTGTATACAGATGTGGAAAAAGTAAAAAATAATGAAACCGACCACAAGGAGGCAGCGCATACTAAAAGCTGATCTTGTTCAGCAGCTTTTCACTTCTCCTTAGCACACAATAACTCTCTCACCATGTTGGCTGGCAGCAATCCATTATTAGCGTGAGCACATTCCACAATCTGAATACACAAAAACCTGCACATGCACACACACATAACACTTTGAATGTGCCCATGGTGCACTTCACACGATTGTCTAGTTCCTCTGTGCATCATCAGCAGTGATTGCACACCCGCATCCAGTCCAATCACACACAGAAACATACTGGAGAAAAAAAGCACAGTAACCCACTTCTGGCGCATCGGTGAGCAGAGAACTAACATAACGTTGACTAAATTTAGCCACTGAATGAATACATGCGGGGCCTGAAGGGAGCGGGGACAGTGCACTGGGAGGATGCACATCGTTAGCTCCTCGAGGGGAAACACATATCAAAAAAATTCTGTAGGGTACAGATGCTCTCACAGGCCCTTTTATACGTGATGCCACATCCAGTTTCTCATCTGCATTAACCTAACTCTGCAATCACATATATAATCCGACCTACAAAATGATGTTAGAATGCATGCACGTGAATGAGTAAGTTGACTTGTATGAGTGTGAATCAGTATTGAGTGACATGGGTTGTAGGGTGATCGATAACAGAGGGTTTAAACAGTGTTAATCATTGAGCTGCACGAAAGACTGAAAGGAGCCTCATCAAAATTCAGTGTGAACATTTAATTAAAGCCATGGCGTAAATGAGACATACACACAGTGCCAGCACAGCAGCAAGCGTGCACAAGGACACCTACTGAATCAGCAGGAGGTGGGCATGTGCCTAACATTTATCGGGAACACACAGATCACACAAATACCACATGAGCGTGCAGAAATGTGATGCGAATGCACCCGCGCAGACACAAACACGCATCCACACATAAACGCATAGCAGCCCTGATAATTGTGCTTCTAAATCCGCTGTACATGAGACTGATAACAGATTCAGACCTGACATTTAGGCCAATTGTTTTCCAGTTATGGTCCAGGTTGTGCATATGTCGTAAGTGCATATAAAATGTGATGGGATATGTACTCTGAAGGGTTGTGCTCAGCGTGACATTTGAAGAGATTGAGGTTAGCGAATGGGTTGAATTGTGTGGTAGGAAAAACGGGGGATGGGTGGGGGCATACAACCTTAAAATGATGTCAAAGTTCATGGTCTTACCTTCACAACCTCAAACATCTATTAGTCTATGTAAATACACAAAGAGAGACCCTCATCCTTCACTCTGGCTCGATGATTGCCAACACAAACACACAAGGCTGCCTGAAACACATCTGAGGTTGGCTCATGATACAAACAAGGACTTTAGTCAGAAGTTATCAATAAAATCTGCATGTTTCAATTGCATCACAGCTGCATTATGCAATGATGCCATTGTTCAAAAAACAGAGAAAGCAGCATGACCATGTGTAGAAAATGGGACTTTGGTAAACAGCCGCTTCATTGTGTTGTGACTCGAGCTGTGCTGTAAATGCCACTCCTGAAATATCTAAACAGTAACGTTTAATGGACTTCATGTACGTCAAGCTACTATGTATATTTCTAACAAAGACTCAGCTCGTCTAGTGGCTTCGACATCATTGAGATAAATTGCATACAAGGTCATGAAACACTGGACACAAACAAAGGCTAGAGTTTCCCTTTTAGTTAGTTTTTTTTTTTTTTGAAGAATGCATTCATGTGTGATTGTGTTTGTTTTCTTTTATAATTGGTAAAGAACCTAAATTATCGTTTTTAAAAAAGGTCATTGGCTTAACTACATATGCAGTTAAAGAAAAGAAAACATGCCCACTTTGTAATGTTGTCACACATAATAGAACATACTGTTTTGTGTATAAGCAGTTCAAAGGCTTAAAGAGTGAGGAATTTAAGTATTATTTTTCACATGCTCACTGCAACAAGAGTACACTGAAAGGACATTTGTGTTGTGAGTCATCTACCAGGATATATTTCTGCACTGTTTACTGTTACATGTGAAGAAGTGAACCTTCTATAAATGCAAATTCTTATTACTGACATTCACAAAACGGCACTTATCCACAAAAAAAATAAAGGTTTTACGCTCTGTTTTCTTTAAAAGCTGCCTGCCATCCATGAGGCCATTTGCATAGGATTAGCATGCAGCGCATACTGATGAGGTTTAAGAAGCTCATGATTGGCTGAGAGACCCTGTGGCGGGAGTTAAGCGTCGAGGTCAAAGCTATTTCATAACTAATCTTATTAATCCATTCCTATTACAGCATGAATGTAATGAACGTGTGTATACACATACAGACACACCCAAGCTCACTTTCATTTTCACAACTAAGCATCATTTGGAAAATGACTTATGTAAAAGGAACTGGGATGTTTTTGGAGAAAACTTACCTGACACAGAAGTAAAGAACAATGGGACCAGACTTCTTGGGGAACTCATGCTCCAATACCCTGCGGTCCAGTTGCAGCCAACTAAAGTGGCCCCTGATAAGATAAACAACCAGTCAGAGTTATATATAGAGATGTCTCAATCTCTAGCAGTAAAATAAATATAATATGACACCATAGGCTATAAAGCACCTAGAATAAACCATCATATGGTGAAAATGTGTACTGTAGTCCAATAATTTAGTATTCATGATCGTTTTTGAAAAAAGGTTTTGCAGTGTGCTGAGAGACAAACTATAAAAATACTGTAAGTAATCTGTAGACTGCTATCAGCAACAAATCTAAAATTTAGTGTATGTGAATAGAATAAGACATCAGAGCATCATATGGTGACTTTACATTAACATCATTTTTGATAAATCTTTGCGATATTTTCAACTTAAAAGTATGATACTTTATAAAGACAAGGCTGCTGAAGAACACATATTTAATACAGGACTAGCCTGATTGCTGTCTTAAGCTATTCCAAGTAGAAAAAAAATTAGGGAAGTTTAAATATTAAAAAAGCTATAGGAATGAGACTGTATCTTCCTCTTCTTACGTTATGATATGATTGCAGGAAGTGACGAAACATTTTCTGACGAACATCTTTTAATTGTTGTGAGAAGAAACATTAGTCAACTTTCCATTTTTCTGTGTTGAAAACCTCAGTGTAAGTTTGGATGTATAATAAAATCATAAACGAGTTTTAAAAAAGCTGCCAAAACAACACATATTATATCTGGTTTATTTTGCCTGTGAAAAAAGAAAAATGAACCTAAGAATCTAAAATAGATTTAAAAAGTTGTGATGGTATGAGGTCCCCTCCCACCTCTTTTTTGCTCTCATTCCTCTGTTTCCAACCGAGAGGAAAAACTGCAGTGACAGCTTGTCACCCTGGTAACCCTACACAGTCTCCTGAGCTACATCTCTCAAACTGTCCTCCTTCCCTCTCTAGTTGCTGAGTTCCCCCCTCCCAACCACCACAGTCTTTTTGGCCACTGAGTAGTCAGAGCTGAGACGTCTGCTCTCTCCAGGCTCGTGCTACAAATCTGTACATCATGGGATTCTTCCTGAGGGAAGCAGATTCTGCTTTGTTGAACTGACGTTGGCACCAGTGTGTGTCACAGACGTGGTAATGCCAAAGAGCAGAGGCCAGTCCTGCTTGATATCAAAGGGTGCATTTCATACAAAAAAAATACAAAGGCACAAAGGCCAATGTTTGCATGTATGCAAATCACTGGCATGTCTGTATGGCTATTGTGCTATGGCGCTCATGTCTTTCCAGGTCACAAAGCGCAACTAATTTGAATGTCATGTTTGCATTTTAAGCACAGCACATGATCTTTGCTATCACAGAACAAACCAGACTGCACGACTGCTAAATCAAAACAAAACTTTTTAAAAATATTCTACCTTCATTTGTTACATTGTTAAATACTTTAAATATAAAGGCATAACTCACTTTTACTGCCCTTGTTTCGTACTTAAAATATGTCTTATGTGTACTTACGTTTCATCTGTGTATGCAATACCAAAGTACTCCTTCTCCTTGAGGTTGAAGTGTGAGGCCACAAGGTCCAGCAAGTCCTTAGCCATCAGTTTGGGCTGTGAGAGAGGCAGAAAACGTATTTTAGGTTAGGTTATGACTGTATTATTGATCAAATAAATAGCTTGTGTTAGGCATAGAAGTGTAGTGATTTATTACTTAGTTGATTAATTGGAACAAGTTCATGTGATAAAGCTTAATGCAAATGTATTATATATCAGCTATTGATTTATAGCAATGACTAAGCAGTTTTTAAAAACACCATGGAAAAGAGCAAAAGAGCCAGGTGGGGGGAGGGAGGGGGAGGGAGAGAGAGAGAGAGAGAGAGAGAGAGAGGGAGAGAGAGAAGAAAAAAAAGATGGATGGAGTTTGTGGATGTTGCTGACAGTGCACGTACCCAGCCCTTCCCTTCTCCTCCCTCCACTCTTTTCTGACCCACACCTCCACTGCAGAGTCATGGCTTCAAGCTGAATCACTGGAGTGCAGACACAAGCTAACCAAGCCAGTGGAATACTGTCTCGCCTGTACGTGTTGAGAGCGTTTATTCATCCCAACATCAAGAGCCGACAGATCATCTTATAAAGCGAAGCACGGGCCAAGGACTACTGCCATATGCTGTTTTGTCACATCCTGACTTACAGTACTCCCGACCCTGAGGTTAACCATGGGTGTGCCTTATTGCCTACTTTTATACACACACAAACACACATCTGCATGCACATATGCACACACAAACCCACGTACAATACTCCCTGCACACAGATGGAACACAGGTTGTGCTATATGGGAAAGGTCACACTACAGAAAAAATACAGAACCACAGCGCACACGCTTAATTTCCTTCAATTGTCCTACTATTTATCCTCTGTACAGCTAATTCAACAGTCAGAAGCTACTGAAAGCTATGAGAGAAGAAGGTGATGTCATATAGACCAAATACAACCCCCCCACCACAGCACACACACTTACACACACACTGACCTAGATCTCATATAAGCATAACGCCTACAGTTATCTCGCTACACATAAAGGCTCTTGAGAGATAAGAATTACAGATGAGAGCTTGAGGTGAAGTTTAAATAAAGGCTGATTTTGTCCTTTAATTGCATCTCAACAAATAAAGCTAACCAGAAAATGACTGAGGGTGGATGACAGCTTTCTTAGTTTACCTTTGATGCAATTAAGTCAAATTGCCTGGAAATGCTTGAAAACACAAATCCCATACTGTGACAAAGGTGAAATACTGAAATTACCATCAAAGCTAAACTTTTAAATACATATGCATTCTCTTCTTATTCGTAATGGTTATAATAAGAAGTGCTGACTCTGGTGTTTAAGTCCTGATAAGTGTGACTCATCAGAAATTGGTACTCCCGTTCGCAGCTTGATTGGCACTATTACTTCTCCAAATGGAAGAGAAGGAACTTAGAAGATCAACATCAGATCCTTTGAAGTGATCAGACCATTTCAAGATGTTTCGGAAGAGGCTATCTTTATAGTATTAGCAGTAATGTGTGTTTTGGTTCGGTACGAAACGCTGACAGCGGTGGTCTCTCATTATCGCGCAACAGTCAACTGCCTTGACAACACTAACAATGAAACATCAATGGCACCACAACTAACAAGTGATAAGTGAGGTGGGACAGAGTCACATGGGTAAACACATGAATAAACAACTGGAAAGATGATATGGAGATGAAATAAACCCCAGCCCTACTGTTAAACCTCAAGAGTAAATGACTTCAGATAAAAAGAAATGCAGAGAATTTTTCTGTTTCCTGGCTCAACGCTTAGAAATTACAGACAGATTGTGGAATAACAGCGGATTCTGTTTCCTCTACAACTGGAGATATCAACTTTTCCATTGAAAACCTGTTCAAGCAGCACATACCTGATGCATACGATTCTAACAGTGCAAACAGTGAATGACAGGCAATAAAACAAGTGATAAGCAACACAATAGTGTAGACAAACAAAAAATGCAAACACACATTCAAATACACACTGAGGAGCCAACTATCAGACAGTGCAGCTAGCTTAGGCTGCAATACTTCTAACAGACACTTAGCCTGTGCCTCCTCAGCAACACAGGTAATTAACAGTACAAGAATTACAGGGCAGTGCATGTGAGGAAGGGACACACAAAAGCCTAGACACAGACAAGTGGCAACCACACAACATGGTGTCTGCAAACAGCTAGACAGACCCGTAATACCTTCAGAGTCGCTCAAATTTATAACTAACACTTATCAGTGGCAGTCCAGTCCAAGGCAGCATAAGGACAGGAATTCCATTAATATGTTTGCCATTTATTTGTGCTCAAAAGGTTTACTATGAAATATACATTCTGGTCAGTTTGTAATCTGTGTTTATAGTACATATTTCTCTGCCAATGGTGCGTTACTTCCTAAAGAAACCATGGAGGACGGCCCATCAAAGGTAGAAGGAGCGGTGAGGTGAATGGCACTTCTGGGACTCAGCAGTCAAGTCATAGATATATGATGCAATTTCCATAAGAGTAACTGTTTGTTGTGGTTGGCGTGGTTACAACAGGCCAGACTTAACCATGAAGCTCCAAGGTGGTCAGTGAGGATTAATGAAACAGTATGTACTTGTTTGAATTAAATTCTAAAGATTTTTTTTCAAGAAATTGTTTTTTTTTTTTTTTTTTTTTTTTTTGCAACTGGGTGGTGTACATGTCTGTTTCTTAATTTAGTAAAAACTTTGAAATAACATTGTAATTCTCTATGGTCCTACTAACAGCAAACTAACCTACCGAACATCCGCCCTACAGAGAAATGCAAGCAGAAAGGAAAAGAGGAAAAAGATAGCAATACCTTGATTTATGTGATGATTGCTTAGTAATAATAACATCCACATTACTGACATTTTTCTTAGTTGTTTTTTTCCCCGTCTTGCTAATTCTACTGCCAAACAAAACAAAAACATATAATTGCATCTGTAAGCAATGCATGTTCGCTTATTTTCCGAATGTGTCCATTCAAACATGCTTAGAGAATAAAAACCAAGCAGAGACGGCTGATAAATGATACAAACAGAGGGCACAGATGTATTTGAGACACAGGACGAGCAGAGGAAAAGCAGGTAAATGCAAGGAAGCGGGTGCATGAGAAAAGATATGGAAAGTGATGAGTTGTAAATCAGCAGAGAAAAAGAAAGTAAGTGAGAGAGGAGTAGAACAAACTACCAATTTGAAAAAGACGATCAGCTCTGGCAGAATAATCAAATCAGAAAGTCAGCAGACCTATCCTTGCCTCTCCTTTTTCATTTTCTCTTCTCTGTTCCAGTTCCCTCAGTGCCATCTCTCCATCCCTGGGAAAACATCTTTCCTTTTCCCCCCACTTCCACTCAACTTCTTACATTTTGCGCTTCAGTTTCTCTGTTCTCTCCTTACTCTGAGTTTCCTGTTTCAGGGCAATTATTTTCTTTTGTCTTTCTCTCGTTCCACAGGAGTCAGGTAATGGTTAAGCCAAAGCGAGCTAAGGGAGGTCAGAAAGAGTGAAGGAACCATGTAATGACTATGTTTCAGTCTCTCTAGCCAGAATGTGTGTGAGTCAAAGCGATGTGATTACCAGTCAATTAAAAACATTTATGACCAGGTTTTACCCTGAGTGTAGAACAAAAAGAAGAACAGATGAGAACTGCAGGAGGATAAAGCTTAAGGGCTTCAAATAGCAAAAATAGAAGTGACATGTTTGTTCACTGCCTTTGTTTCTTACTGTAGAAATACTTGCTCAGAAGATTAAGAGCTTAAAGTATTGTCCGTTTAGGAGTTGTTAAGAATACTATTAGATACATAGCTTTGACAGGTATGACAAATCTGCAGCGAAGTTGCAGTGTAGTCCGTGTTTTTTTTTTTCCAGTGAAAGATCAGGTGAGCTTCAAGAAAGTGCAGTGACACCAACTGCAGTCCAGATTTCCCTTCGTCAGCAATGATCAAGTCCCTTAAGGCAGCAAACGTTGCTTCTCGCTAGCATCACAAAAGCTAGCATCTGTAAAATTCTAGAGGACAGAAAGAGAGCAAACTAAGGGGCAGGAGGAACAGACACTTACCTGTACGAGAAGCTCCAGTTTCCTGTCGTCCAATAGGTGGACCTGACATCGCCTCCCCTCGGTCATCTGGGAAACAGGGGAAAAAAGGATGTCAGTTAGTCAGTGGTAGGTTATCAGGGCTGCTTTAAACCCTTTTTCAAAAACATCTTACACTATGAACCGCCCCTACATAAAACGTACAACCTGCTGTGTACTGAGCTTGGACTTTGTGTGGTATTTCATTTAAATTTAACAAGGTTATCTGAACTACAGACAATGGGCCAACTGAGACAGTGCCCTGCTCGTTGTTCCTCTCTGACATTTCTAACATTCCTCCTTGAGCAGGAAATCTATTGCCCATTGGTCTTAAAACCAATGAGGGGAAAGTGTCTACTAATAATGCCTACTGGAGGGCTTTTTTTATGTCGCTGACATTGGGTTTGCTGAAGTGAGTTTCAGAAAGTTAAAAAAAAATAAAATAAAACATCTGTGTGCCAAGTTCAGGTGCAAACAGTGACGCAGGTGCAGGGATGAGAAAGTCAGCTGTGGGAAACAGCAAGTTAGAGCAAACATTTCACATGAGAGACAAACCAACTCTGCAAACCTGCTAGAAAGGTCCCCACTTTGTAATGAAAAAAAAAAAAAAAAACAGGACAAAGACACAAAGTTGATTTAGGCATCGGAATACAAAGAGCAAGCTCTGCCAGAGAGCTGAGCATCATAAAATATGTTTCGAGTCAGTATCCTGCTGTTTTCAGCACATGTGGCGTTGCTCCACAATTTAACAGGAAGCGGGGACCCTGAGGACCACAAACACCCCCTTGCTCCTCCCACACTTTCCTCACATCTGGGAAATGAGAAGTTGAAGGGTGGAGAACATAAAAAAATAAGAATAAGAAAGGTCATCATTGCAAAGAAGGTCATAACGGTGCTTTACAGAATAAAAAAAACATCCACAACATGAACACAAGAACCGGTTTGTGATTCTTCATTGTCAGGCACCTGAGGCTATTGCAATTTAGTAAGGGTGTGTCACACAGCTACTGTAAGAAAACCACCTTCCCACTTTCCCACCAGTCACGTCAGCTTGTGTAATGGTGGCGGGCTGAAAGTGAGATTTCACAGAGATATGAAGAGATCAGAAAAAGAAGTGGGGGGAGAAAATGACACGGGTATGCTTCAACACTCATCCAAGTGTGAACTCCCCAAATGACCCCGTGGATGTGTGTGTGTGCAGCCACTATACCTCTGCAGGGGCCTGGTTTACTCATCTCCCATGGTTTAATGGTTTCAGCTGGGTGCACCTGTGCACACAGTGAAGGTTTAACTTTGTTTTTGTTTGTCTGTTTGACTTTGCCCTCCTCCACTTCCAAACCTAACATACTGTTCAGTGGAGCAACAGCACGTCCGTGTTTTGTTCTAGTTACTTCGGCACGACTCTAAGATGCCGATAATACTTTAAGTTGCTGAAAAACAAATGCTTACATCAGGAAAACGTGGCAAAACCCAGTGTAATGAAGGCCAAACATCTTGTCTGCATTGCAGACACACACACACACACTGGCAATCAGCTTCGAGCACCTGGGAATACTGCAAACCTTAATGTCTAGGTAACAAATCACTGCCCTGAGGCTTAAATTAGAGACTCCAATCTGCCAGAAACAGATGCTTATTAGTTTCAGAAATTAAATTCCCTTTGTGGTGCTGTGCACATGATTCAGAGTTTTACGTCCATCCCTGAATCATGTGTAACAACATCTCTGTGAATACCCTGCTTTCATAAAGCTATAAAATTAGAAATAGTTTAACTTTATTTAATGAGGCAAAAGTTCTTGTTTTCATTGTGAACATGCACACTGAAGACAGTATCTTGACAATAAAAACATTAAAGTGAGCTACGCTGCATGTAGTTTCTGTGTGATTGTTTTAGCTTCAAAGCAGCATGTGGTAGAAGTTACATCACTTTGTCCTGGTTTGTGAATCATGTGATCCACCAGCATTTCTCTCTCATCGCTTGTCACGTTTGAACTGGCTAATACAACACATCCTCCGGGCCTGATTCAGTGAGGAGAAACGCAGAGATTAAACGACCACAATGGAGATGAAACGCCACCCGAAGCGCCTCCATTGGACAGGTTTCTGATAGTTCTCTGCAGATGACGGTGAAGATAAAAGCGACACGAGCAGACAGACAGTCAAAAGGTGCGACGGAAGGAGTTATTACCTTGCAAACAAACGCCGCCTCTCTGAAGCTCCCAGAGACTTGAGAAGAAGACACCAAAATGGAAAAGTGGAGAGAAAAATAAATAAATAACCTGGACTATTAATCCCAGAAAGACACGAGTCGTGTTCCTGCTACAAAATCATCAAAGAACGCTCGCTTTCCTGGCCGGCCTGAACGAGGAGGCACGTCAGCATCCATGTTCGTGACCGTTAGCCGTCGCTGCTGTCAACACAGGCAGAGCTGTCTCATGCCTTCGCCATTTCAAACCGAGGGGGAAGAAAAAAATCTAATTTACTGAAACCGTGTTCCTCCCTCCTTCTCTCTCATCCCTTCTTCGGAGAGCAGAGCCTCAGCTCTCCCCGCACAGCCACCCCCCCCTCCTTTCACTACCGGCGCCTCGCGCACGGACGAAAGACCGTACGGGAGACCGTACCAATGGTCAGCTAGCAGGAGGGGGGGCAACCGGAAGAAGCAGCTAATAAAACAAGACGGGCTAGGTGCTGCTTCTCCTTGCCTGTCACCGGAGCTGCTTCAAAAATAAAATAAAAAATAAAATAAAACAAAAACACGGGAATAATGGAGGCAAGATGTGGGGGCGGGGAGAGGAGGTGGTGAGGGGTTTTCTGCAGCGGCTCACAGCCATGAGAAACTGCAGACCTGTCTTTGTGTGTGTGTGTGTGTGTGTGTGTGTGTGACATGTGAGTCTGCAGGGCATGCAAACAGTCTGCCGTTAAACCCAGTGATAAATAGCAATTAGCTGAGCCTGAGATGCCTAGTTCATAAAATGCACTGCTTTACAG